CATTAGTACGCTTCGGGGCGAAAACAACAATGAGTCTGGCATTTTTTAAATCGACTCACCTGTTTTAGAAGTATTCTGACGATGACCTGTGAGTAATGATGTGACCTTTAAACTTAGAGGTTTCATTTTTTTTAATATTTAAGTTATTGTAACTTTATTTAATCGACAAAGATATACAATTTGCGTAACTGTCTCACTAAAACTTTTGCTTTTGATGCTATTGTGTAACGAGATTTGTGAATAAAATAATATGAATAACATGATGTTTCCAAATACTTACTTTAATTAACTATTTTTTTACCAACAATTGTCATTACCGAGTAACAGTTGTAAAGAAATATTAAGAATTGTTTAGTTACCAAACCTTGATTAATTGTTTATGGCCTAACGATGAAATAAATCTATATTATGGAATTTCAATATAAATGGTAACATCATGGCAGAATGCAAAAACATGGTACTTAGCGACAAAATGAATAGGAAACTGTGACATACTATAATATACAGGGACACAGAGTAAAATAATATAGTATACAGTAAATAACATGGAGAATAATCTTTTCAAAAAGGATACGGTCGACTAACAATATGCCCAAATAACTGGAGCCAATTAGAAACTATCCTATAATAATAGTGGTAGCGTAATAAACCGCAACAAACATAACATCCGAGTCGGGATCCGATAGATTATGGCTAACATATTCGAATCAATCCGGCGATCCGATTAAGGAAGGATATTGTGGGTCCATTGTGATTCTTTCTAACACAAATCTGCTACGGATTGTGGTTTTCCTATTGTAGTTAGATTACATTTATATCTGTAGTTTAATGAATATTCGTAGACTACAAATTGAATATATATCTATACTTAATTTAAATCTTTCTATAACAAAAGACTTCAAAATTAATATAATATTTTTGGAGTTCGTAAACAAGCTTACAGTTAGTGGTATCGTTTATTTAGATAAATAATACCACGGATATCAACATAAAAGATGTTTACCATAAATTTTAATGCTCGTTCCAAAGCAAGCTGCTCGGCGTCTGAACTAGGTGAGAAAGAGGTAGGTACTTACGGTGACGACTTTATATAAAGTCTACCTTCAAAATATAATCGATAATCATATTGCTATATAAATGCTTATTGTAACATTATTTCCTAATGTGACAAATCGATTATGTAGAATCGATATGCCACATTAGGAATTAAAGTTCTAGATTGATCGATGATGATTTCTTCAGATAAAATATTTCATAAAAAAGGTATAATTACAAAAACGCTTTAGCTGTAAGCAGACAAGCAGAAGTGCCCAACATTTAGCATTCGACTGATGTTGATTAATTATTCCGTTCTCGAAAAAATGCAAAAAATACTCCCAACAGGTGTTTATAAGGGGCATTTCACTTAACGTTTTTGCTACGAGTCTCTTAGAAGAAGACAAATGAAACCTTTGTTTGAGCAATCTATCTTGGACGGCTCAACCAGTATTAATTTCACAGCAAACAAAGCAATTTAGATTATTTTTTACTGAGATCTGGTTTGAAATTTAGAGCCATTTTTCCTTTTCTGTTGATAACTCTTAATCTCACTTGGTCTCATTCATTTCAATGTCATCTGTTTTTATTTTTGTTTCATGATTTCACAATATCATCACTTTTAAGCATATTATAGATTGACTCTTAAATATAGGTCTTTATTAACTGATTCCTATGCACGTTTAATTCAATGTGTAACTAAAATAAAATTCGTCCATTATCAAACCGTTGTCATTTCTTAAATTATGACCAACTCGTTTTCAACTTGAATTACTAGATCTTTCTACGAAATTTTAACTTTTAATGTATCTCCGTCAACATATTCATAAGTATGTTGACGCTTCTTCTTACGAATACCTATTCCTACATCAGTCACTTTGTATCATAGAATGTAGAATTACGATGGTGAACTCACTATTACGGCTTAGTTGACCTGATTTCATCCTCACCCTATCATCTCTTACTGATCTGTGTATGTTGAGATCGTAATCTCGCATTACTATCAGTCATTTCACCGATACTTCGCAAACTGTTGGTTTGTTATAAGTATGGACAGTTTAATTACAATCATGATTTGTCCAATTACAAACAACTGTTTGTTGGTCTGTATGTATATCTTAAAAGCAAAGTTGCGTCGTTTGTCTCTGGAGAGCAATACCATTATCCGCATTGCTGTGTTGGAAATGACTTTTGAGGCTTTATTCTTATCTGAAGTGACCTCTTTTTAAGACCCGACGTAAAATAAGGAATCAACATTCAACATATCTATCGGTGTCTATCTGTTGCATCTTCGCTCTTAAACAAATCTACTTATTTTGATTATTTCTATTGTTTGAAAGCTAACGTGGTCATAATTATTGGTTCAAATCTATATTTTATGAATATCGGTTTGGGGGCAATTACATTCTATATCATCATTATTACTATGCACAGAATTAGTAGAAACAAATTAATTGTAGATTTATAGAGAGATCTCACCACTCTCATTTTCATGTGTAGAATAACATACATGTTAGAAATCTGAAAATAATATATTTATTTACACACTTACCTACTTTATAGATATTAAATATAACAACTTTTCTTAGAAGTCAGGCCAGTGGTTAAATTAATCAGTTCCTTGCTTTAAAACAATTACATACTTGTATTTTATCGGTCTCATGACCAGTTGTGCACGTAACCGTAAGTATAACTGGCATATTAAAATGTTAAAGTTAGGAATAATTTTTCACTTTTAATTAAATTTGCTACATACATGTAGGTATACTACAGCCTATATTACCGCATATGATAGTTCAATTAATTCGCGAATGTAAATCTATAGCATCAACATCCATAGAAAAGTAGATTCTTCTTCAGCAACCCAGATACAATTTATTAACTTTTAATACAAATACTTATTAGTAGTGCTTTGATTAGTGACTATATTTTCTCATGTCGTGCATATCTTTAATTTATGTTATACATAGTCTGTTCCCTGCAATTATATTTAAATATAATTAATGATATGATGTTTTTCTGTAATATTTATGAGGCAAAATCTTGTAAATATTATAGATATTCTGACAGAATTATTAAACATTATAAAATACAAAATTACAAAATTGTTACATACAATGAAATGAAAAATTTCAGTAAAATTATAACTAATCGTTCATTGTTATTTATTTACTTTAATGAATGTTTTCACTGTAGATACAAAGAATTAGTAATTATAATTATCTCTTCTAAATAAAGTTACTGACATCATATAATTTCCAATAAATTTTATTACGAATTTAACAATTGTTATAAATGTTCAGAAACATATTCGTTCCTTGAAAAATACTTTAATTGTAACATTGGTTGAAAATAAACTAGTGTTTCATTCAATGGCTTACGTTATTTCCAGTTTCAGCTGCAAGCACAAAATGAACCCTACCTTATAAATAAAACTTGTTTGTTACTCGGTAAATTCCGGTTCAATTTATAGAAACTACCCACATTGTCAGCGCATGAATCATGACAATCTTTATTCAGTTCCGTGATAGAACTTCGCCACTAAAGGTTGCATTCAAAAGTTATATTAAGTTTGCGTCGTGAAGTCGCAAGGAACAGGTGGGCAACGGTGCCGTAATATTTCGGAATTCTCAAACTAGTTTCGAAGTACTTTGTTTGGAGCGATTGGAGCGACATGACTCAACGTATTTATTTACAACGCCATGATTATGCTGTTCTGCTGTAGCTGAAATTAGTACGAATGAAATTAGAACTATATAACTGACAGAAATACTGAAATTTTTTTTCGTAAATATATACATAATAACATAATCGTTATCTAGAACAGTTCACACAGCGCCATCTAGTCCCAAGCTAAGCAGATTTTGTGTTATGGGTGATAAGTATTTAAGTAAATATTTTTTTATCTATATATATAATATACGTAGAAAAGACCCAGACCAATACAAAAAACATGCAAATTTTTGATCCTGCGATTATGAAGTAAGGCGGTGTGCTAAAGCACGGTGGGCCTCGGTAGTAAACCACTAAACCACTGAGACCCATAATGTATCATCAAAGAAAGAAAAATTTATTCCCACGTGGTCGGAGGCGCCCTGTTAATTATTTTTATCTCTGTTTCTTTCACCGCAGTGTTTTTTAACAGAAACTGATGCCTATTTGAGTCAGCTTATAATGATTAGAACTATCTGTATAAATTAACATAACACAGAATTTACTATGTCAGTATATATGACTAGAACAAGATTTTTAAAAATTTGTTGCATATAAAAAGTATAGGTATAAATATATATCAAAGTAACTATTCCAACTATTATTAACATATTCCAAACTAATATTATAAATTATATCTGCCTTTCACGTTTCAAGGTTAAACAGCTGATCAGATCTTAATTAATTTAATATGACGATAGATTGTATGAGACATGGGGTAACACCTGATATATTATTTTCTTAAAAATTTTAAGAAATTTCATACAACTGCATTAAAAACATTCTTCTTAGCACTCTTGGACCCGTGTGGATCAAAGCCGATACATGGGCCGAACCCAAACGAATAATTTACCCAAACATGTGTTTCGGGCAACGCCGTAATTCAGGGCTACTCGCCCTTGTCCACCCCCACATAATCCTACTGGGCTTTTTAAAGGAATCAGGCTCTGTAGTTGACCAGTTAACCCATGTAATGTCCGCAAAATTATTTTAACCCTTCCAATGTTCGGACTCGAATTCGGGTTTTGTTATTGGACTGATTCATTTGTTATCAATTTATGTTGTACTACTTCGTATGACATAGAATTATCTTATATGACATAAAAAAGACAGGAAAAATTCGTTTGAATTTAATAGAAAAGGCAACGGAATGTTAAAATAAAAAATGTATCAAGTATCAACACAATTTTATTGTTTTATTACAATTTCAGCCTTGCTTTTATAAATAGATTTTATACATTATTTACATCACAAACTTCATTATAATTTTGAGTACAAATTCCGTAAAAATTCCAAACACCCTCTTCAAATTAATTTAGTTGAATTGAGAAAATAAATTCGTATGATACAATGATAATATGAAATACAATTGCAATAGTGAGAAATACAAGAAAAGGATCCAATATGAAAAGAATTACTTGGACCCAAATGAAAGCTCCCTACAATAACGATCATAACATCCTCAAATGATTATCTGTGGAGCTACAATCGCTTTTCTCGTATTGTCATTGACGCGACAGGCCTAAGCTGTTAGCTAACTGCGAACACCGAGCAACTACCTCATCTTGAAGTAAACTAAATGACATTGCAATTAAAATTAGTCCAAAAACCAAATATGCGCAGCACGCAATCATTTGTATGTATTCACTTTTTGAGGTTTCTGTACTTTGCTTTGAAGTTAAGAAACTGGTAGGCACAAAATCTCCAAAACCAATAGTTGCTAAAGCTATGAAACAGAAATAGGCAGCATCTAAGAAACTCCAGTTCTCCCAAGCGGAAAAGATAGCTGCGCCTACGCAGATGTACCCTAGGAGCAGGAATAACACAATGCCGACTGGTATATGACAGTGTTCGGCGCTATGATTTATGTGATGCTGGACGCTAGTGGAAGCACTGCTGCTAGGCACGGCACAGCTCTTATTTTTGTGGTTATCTTCATTCCAAATCAAAGGCACTCGTGATGGTGTATCGTGTGGACATATTCTGTAAATCAAATACAATAAATTTAACAAATATAACTAAATAGCAGAAAATATACCTTGTGGGTGGTCAGAGGCAATGTCGATTGTCTATATTGTGGTGAAGGCAACATCTGACATGCCTAAATTTTACAGTGTATATTTGATTCCAACGTGGAAGTGGTCGAACGTCATCTCTCGGCAAATTGATTCATTAACTAATATTAAATAATTTTATAACTATTTTTTAAGCATAAAGTCAAAAATTATTATACTGATTATAAACATATAGGAGGCGTGACTATTAGTATAGTTGCATTTTAGTGCCACAAAACTAAACATTAATACATAGTGAGAAACCGCGGCGTGGCGGGTTGGTCGTAGGAAATAAAAATTACGTCTTTTAACAAATAAAATATATCCTTAGGGCTTTATATTCTTTTAGCCTTTGCCTGAAACATATACAATATGTTAAGGAAAAATGGAGTGTCTCAAACACTCTCCGTAAAAGCGGATCATCTTAAAAGCACTTATTCAATTTACAATATACAATACATTACTTTTTCTTCTGAAACGAAATAATGACTACTGTCTACGTGATTATAATAATACGTCTTGGGAATGGATCTATTGTAACACGTGAGTTTATGTAACATTATTATTATAAATATATTTCAAAACAAAATAAATATGTTATAAGATAATTATACTTGCTTAACTTATACGTAAAAGTAATAACAATCTTAATTCACAATTACGCTATTGTACAGTAAATATATATATAGATTATGGTAGTACGGTAACCTAGATTGTTATAATTTCTCTTGTAGCAGTCGTTCACTAAAAAGTATCTAACAATAAAGGCTGGATTTTTTTATCATATTTGTACTTGTGTATGTAGCGAGGTATGAAGAATTATAAGCTTTATTACATTTTATTAAACGTACTCATTTTACTTTCGCACGACGATGAGAAATTATATTTAATTAGGATAATTAACTTTTGTCATCTGTAAGTAGACAACGAATATCAAGCGCCACAAAATAGAATACAAATTCGAGTTATTTAAAAAAAAATTAAATATGACTACACCGATATTCAAGCCTGAGAGTTAATTTGCAATAGTAGTGCGTGTGATTTTAACTTAGATCGACAACCAATGATAAATAAAAAGCTTACGCTTCATCGGGATCCTCTGAATCGTCTAAATCATCTTGACTCCTGTTCATAGGTAGTTCGCCACACTCTTCAGCAATTAGTTGTTCTATAACTGGCCCTCTCGGTCTTTGAATGGTCCCCCTACCTCTTCCTCGACCCGGACCATGAACTGTGGCCAGGCACTTCATACTGCTCATAGTTTTCTTCCGGTCTAATGTCTGCGTTTGTAAAGCTGATGATGTATGTGGCTCTGTAAATACGTAGCTTCTTTCAAAATTAATGTAATACAGCTTAATTGCTATTTAATGATTTTAGACTTCACAAGCATAGCAAAGAAGCGAACACTGATGTACTTGTACAATTTCCAATTTGATGGTTATACTTATATAAATCTGCTCTGTATGAAATAATTAAGAAAATATCCTTTAATTTTGTTACATGGAATTAATAATTAGACGCAATATGTAGACACGAGTATCTTATTATACGATATTCGGATTCTAATTGATAATTATATGTAATACATTCTGAGCCTGATTAAGATCTCTGTGTTATTAAGGCTATTAATAAATTAACGATTTATGAATAATCCTCTTTGTATTTGTATTATAACAATATTACATGGGTAATTTACGTCTTTCATCATTTTCGTACGAAGTCTTACTTTTTTTTTTATATCTCTGCTATCTATCTGACTGGTTTGGTGCGTTTTCATTTCGGTATAGAGACGCGTCTACGTGCAACGAATGTACTCAGTAGAGAATCTGTGCAGATTCAACATGAAAAGAAAAAGCGTCAACCTGACAATCTATTCTGAAAACTAATATTTCTTGGTAATTGAATAATGTTCAATATTTAATAAAAATAGTGCAGCACTGTATTAGTTTGAAATCGTTTAGAACCGATTAGATCTCAGAGTAGACTGGTCACTCAGGAAGGTTTATAGGCAAATAAGCTCACCATCAGCCAAGGCACTGCGCTTGATGCGACCTAGCGTCGCTGCTCTAGGACTCGTAGGCGCCTTCTCAAATACTTGCGAATATTGACCTCTTTCACCAGCCCTGGCTCTGACCGTGCCCGGTGAGCGATGAGTCCGTGGTGGAAATGATGTGTACTGATTATGCTCCGCTGGTTGTGGCAGCAGTCGCTGTTGTTCGTGGAGTTGCAGGTGATTTTCCTGTGATAGTAGAATTATAACTTAATATCATAATGATAATTATAGAATAAGAATAATTTATTGCTGCCAATTAAATTACATGAAAGAAACACGTTTAATATACGACGGCAAAAGAACCTGGCACAGCATATGCCAACAGGATACTTTTGCACGCTGCTGGTTTTCAACCCGGTCTTTTTATGAGTACAACAACAACTAGTTTACGTAACTTTGACATTAAATAAATTATCGAAAAATATTTTTAGAATGGTATTTATTCATCAAATCATATGTAAATGTCAATATTCTTACATTTGAATTTGCGTAACTGCAACAGTAAACAATCAGAAGATTCGTTTGGACGCAAGTGGCTACGGTTCCTAAACATAAACAACGGAAATTACGTTCTTATAATCTTGTATAATAATACCTCGTAATCTTACTGCCATATTATATACCACGACATATTTCTATTAAATAGGTGAGACAGAAGTCCCTACGCAGATGTTTTTGTACAATTTCAACCTTTAATCACATACAATATAATTTTTATATGTCATAAATAGTGATTGAAGGTAGAAATTGTAAATAAAGGGAATTTAAATATGGACCCATACTGCAGGAAAAAAAAATCAGTGCGTTTTTAATAAATATCATCGTCATATTATCAGCGAGTCAGAATGGGGGTCTGACGTTAACTCAACGTTTGTAGTTGTAATCTATCAAACTATGTGAAAGGTGACATACACCGTGATGTGAGATATTATATTTATATATCAACATCACGCCATACTTTGATATATAATTTATAACTAAAGCTATTCAACATCAATGCCGAAACATAAATTGTCAATACATTGACTGATGGAATGGCAATTTTTTTTAAAATAACACGACGAAAATCATAATGACGAGTATCCATGTTACAATCTCTGCTTAGTTAGGGGCTAATTTTATTACTAGGAATGTACTAAATTATAGTAGGACAATTAAAAAAAAATAAGTTAGGTACCTCGCCATCTTTTCTCCAGGAGTTTGGAATTTTTCTCTTCGTAGTCCTCAACCACAATAATCTGGCGAGTTTGGCCAATGATGCCCCTAAACCAGCTAGACATGCTAATGTCAAAGGGACACCAGCCGCTGCATATGCCACTGTTGCTGCTCTTCCGGCTGCTGTTCTTGGTGACACATTACCGTAACCTGTAATTAGGGTACATAATTAGGGTTTACTATATGACAATCCTTACTAATATTTTAAACGCGAATGTAACTTTGTCTGTCTGTCGCTCTTTCACATCAAACTTAATGAAATTTGATACACGCGTAAGTGGTTGAAGGGGAGACGAAAGGTTGTTTAATAGTATCGTCAGTTTTTAAGCTAAAAGCTGTTGATTAAATATAAAAAATATGACATTCAAAGTTTGTAAATATTCCCCCATTAAATGAAATAGGGCTGAAAGTTTGTTTGAAAATTCATCATTATTGAAGCCAGAACGATGAAACCGTTTACTTTGACTTTTTAGAGTGAGATTCTTTTTTTTATTTGGCTCAGCTAATAATATATAAATGATACATGATTACAAGATATACATTGTCTGATATACGATATCATACTAGAGAGATATATAGGTGCTATATGGATGAAGGGTATTGTAACGTTCCCCCCCTTGCCTAATAAAATCAACTAAACTACCCTCTCTAAATATAAGAGGAATCTAAATATAAGATCATATAACGATGGAACACTTAATCTTTAATCATTTGGCCATATAAATAAATTATTGTGATCGTCTAGTATCGGTGGACCCGTTGTGTATGTAGTAACTATAGATTCTTTGATTGGTATATGAAGGAGTAATATTTGCATAATTAAGTACAATCTAAATAATACAAATTATTATACAGAGTATAAGGAATAAATAATAATTGTAATATAAGGTATATAGTTGATTATTTTAATTAAGTAGCAATGTGGATTATAATAAATATATTCGTTAATAGAGATCGTAAGACCAATGAGAGTTGATAATAAAATAAAGGTCTAGGTTCCTAAAATACTATTTGTAATACTATTTCTACTCCTATTATTCACTACCTTACCTAACTACTAGATTATACGATTACATAGAATATGCTAGATCGGAAAGATTGAATACCTGTAATATTAATAATTCCAATATAATGGAATTTTAATTCGCATAATTTCAATGTCATAAATCTATAATATAATCTGACAGTGCAGCTATTTATGAAGGTTAGGTTAAGCAAGGTTCATCACAATTTCAAAAGTTATATTATTACTCCTGATTATGATGACGACAAAGGTACTGATGCCGGTCACAGATGGTTCAGGGAGGGCACCCCAAATAGCGCCCGAGACTTGTGACACGGGTGTAGGTTTAAAGGTACCTTTTAGAATGCATTAACACTCACCTTCACTACTTCTGGTAACCTCCCATTCCCAACTAATAAACCCCCCAATCCCTACAATATTCACAATTACATATATTTTCACTTAACTGTTTAATATCCATATCTTCACCTAATAGTTAACGTAATTTATTACAACCCTAATCATTACTCATGTAGAATATATTCAATAGAAAAGATAAGTGCACTTAACATTACTAATTTCAATGTGATGTATTTTAATAGTTGCATTCGTATAAATTCAATATGATAATTCTGTATTAATTTGATAGTTCCACTATTTATAGAATGTAAAAGACATCTCTATATTTATAAGGAAGTTATACTGAACCGAATTGCTACTGCTTCAGCTGGTTCATATAAACAATATTCAATAGTTAATTCGTCTATTAATTACTTATTTAATTTGTGCAGTGTGTAATAAGTTGTAATATAATAAATGTAATGCGTCCTAAACTTTACCCACACAATGCTGCATATCCAGAGTAGCAACATATCTCTATAGTGATACACCAGCCATACAACATGCATACGGTAAAACTTAGGGTGTGTGTCCTAGATAACCACTCAGTTATCAACTAAACAGAAGTCCCTATTGGTTGTAGAAATCTCCACAGGGATCGTGGTCTAAAACCTTCATTGCGAGCTTTGACTCATCTCTCCTCAAATGATGGAACATGTGACTTCATCATAGATTCATCGAACTGAGCCTCTCTCTCCTCCTGATAAAAACTTCCACAACTATTACAGAAATTATATTTCCTTACTAAAGCCTCCATAGAGATTTACGGATCATAATATATCATCAAAAACTATTGGAAAATGTCACTTCAATAGTTCAATCATCGATACAAGTATTTTCCTCCTTCCAGTGAAGCCTTCAGTAACCAGAACCCCCCCAAGCGACATATTTTGTGGAATGTATATAATCTTTGTATGGGTTAATTCGTCTATTAATTATCTATTTAATTTGTGCAGTGTATAATAAGTTGTAATATAATAAATGTAATGCATCCTAAACTTTACCCACACAATGCTGCATATCCAGAGTAGCAACATATCGCTATATTGATACACTAGCCATACAACATGCATACGGTAAAACTTAGGGTGTGTGTCCTAGATAACCACAGTGTTATCAACTAAGTTAAGTCCCTACTGGTTGTAGAAATCTCCACAGGGATCGTGGTCTAAAACCTTCATTGCGAGCTTTGACTCATCTCTCCTCAATGATGGAACATGTGACTTCATCATAGATTCATCGATCTGAGCCTCTCTCTCCTCCTGATAAAAACTTCCACAACCTATTTATTATAAACTTCACTTACTTGCTAAAGTCTCCATAGAGATTTACGGTTCACATTTGATCATCATAAATTATTGGAAAATGTTACTTCAATAGTTTATTCATCGATACAAACATTTGCCTCCTTCTAATAAAGCCTTCAGCAAAATATATATATAAGACTCAAAGATCTTCCTCTCACTACATCTTCCGTGTAATGTAATGTAGACATGTACTAAATATTAACCATGCAATATCTATATATTCGAAATAGTAAACGTAATTTACTATCCCAAACAAAGAACACCACACAGCAAGACATTTAGTGTGAATAATGAAATATTTGAAATAAGTAATAAATAGTTGAAATAAGTAAATGAAATATTTAATTTTGATAAAGTAACTGAACTATTATTAGCCATCATTATAAGTACAATAGGGTTTTACTATAACTTCCTTAATTTACTTTTAGCTTAGTCGTAGTAAATTTATTATTAATATACATAATTCTCATATAAAATATTAGAGTTATCAACAACTGTTAAAGGACACAATTAAATTCATTAGCATCTAACGAGTAAATATACACATTTAATATTAAACTCCTAACCTTTCAACCTAACTAAAGAAAATAAATCAATATAACTCAGATTTAGATACAAATTGAGACTATTATCGTAATATAAGAAAGACACAAATAAACCATGCTCGTTAAATTTTATATTATAAGTAATTAAACTAAATCAATGTATTCGTCAACATATTAATTCCACGCAAATCATAAAATAAATAAACACATGTACATTTCCTAATTAACTTGGCAGTTTATCTAAAATATCCCAATAATACAGTCAAATGATGACAGACATACAGTATATTATGAGCACAATAAATAAAGTGAAAGAATTAAAATGACTTACCAATATGTTGACAAGAACGGATATTAAAAATATTAAAATCACTTACTAAAATCTCATTATTTACGAATAGTAAAAGAATTAAATATACACTTGTTACACCTACGGATGCTCGCCATCGACTAACTCAAATTCCGATTTCTTCGTCCTTCCTCACAATTCTACCAATTTTGGTTTTGCCAAATATATATATATCTAAACATAACTCAACGTGAGAACTTCGTTCTTATGCAGTTCACACTAATTATACAGGTGATTTTTAAATTTATTTTGTATCACTTTTCTTTATCCTAAATTTTATTTTGCTTTTCAAATATTTTTCCTATATAAATTATAAATAACCATTTACCGCGTTTGCATATTATAATTACTTAATTTATTAATTTAATGCTGATACAACATCATAATAAATTGCAAACATATATATAATATGTAATCAATATTAAAATCTGTAATAAAAATTAAAATTTTTATTTATAATTTATTTAATAAATAATCAATAACTAATTATAATTAGATAAACGTTAGTATTCATAAATAAACACTCATTCTGTTGATAATATTATTTTACATACTGTGTTTTTATAAGATTCTAATAAATTCCTTTCTATTATCAAAACCTGAACTAATGTTTTAATACAATTAATTCCTTAGAAGTCGTTTTCTATTTATCTATTTAAATCATGATCTCTTACAATGTAGTAAATTGGAACATCCTATATATTTGTCGGCTTTCTTTTGTTAAACACAAAGGATGCCGTTCTATTGTCCTATTTGCTAGTAAATATGTTTACAGAAAAATATTTAACAGTTCTTAATGGTTTTGTTTTTAACACACGTGTAATATCTGTCGATAGTGTGTTTGTCGGCCTTCTTTTTGACGAACACAAAAGGATGCCGCCCTATTGTCTTTTCTACTAGTAAACATGTTTACATATATGCATTTAACAGTTTTTAATGGCTTTATTTTGACACACATGTAATATCTATAGATAGTTATAGCGAACTATCCTTTTTCTGGTGTTGAGAGCTAAATACACAATATTGATTTTATTTAGTATTTTGTACTATTTTACATCTAACTTATTTTATGTATTTTATTTATCAAATAAGACGATGTTTCTACTACAATTATTTTGTCAATTAAATAACGGAATATATGCTAATTTATTCTATGTATGTATAATTTTTGAAGTGAATATTTTTAATATGTACATTTTTCTTGTTATTTCCTTTTATCGCCCATTTTATGCAAAATATGACGTAAAACTAAAATGAGTACTAAGCGAACCGTCACAGTATAGATGGAATTATTGGATAATGAATACATTGTATTTTCTGCTATCATTGGACATATTTTCAAAATTTATTTTCACTTAAAGGATTTCATATATATTGACAGATAATATATATAAGGGAACATCTTATCCACATGACAACTGAAAATACAATAGAAGTTTTGAGGATACAGGTAAGGATACAGGTACCCACAATCTTATATAAAGGTCAGTAAACGTCAAGTCCTCAGTATCAAAGGTAAGGAAGGTAACGAAGCATTGTCAGGCGTAAAATTTCAGTCTCAATGTCTTGCTGCGAAAGGATTCAAATTTTCCCTTGCTCCTTTGAAACATTAGCTTTTTAATTTCATTATATTGAAAAATATGTAATGATTTCATAAATAACCAGCTTACTCCTCAAACGTTGTTTTGCTAGACAAATTAAAATCGCTATTAAAAAATAGAAGGGTGAAAATTTGGGGTTGCATGTATTTTTTAATGCGACATAATAAAAAAAATATAAAAATAAAACAAAAATGTTAAGGGTGGACAACCCTTATAACTTAGAGATATGAAACATAGATAGTAGTTGATTCGCAGACTTACTGAATTTGCACATAAAGTTTCATAAAATTTAACCAGGCTGTTTTGAAGGAGTTTGGTAACTAACATTGTGACTCGAGAATTTTATATATATGATTACCTAAAACTGAGTAATTTTAGTGTTTCGTCAAATCAAAATTCAACACATTCGATTCACTAGTTTTTTGTCCACCATTTTGTGAATACACAAGGGAAAGTAGATTGGAATTAATTTATTACTCACCTATAGTTGTAATCAACGTGATGCAATATATGATAGATCCTGAGAAGGTCCATTTGGAGTCTAAAGCTAGTTCGGGAGGTTGTGTTTCGGAGGATTGTCTCGCAGCCGCTACTATCGAGGTCTCGAATTTTCTCAGTTGTTCGTGTACTAAACGTGTCCAATTGCGTTCGTAGAGTACGTTGAGGCGCTCTGAAACAATACAAATATTCTGTTTATTCTCCTGGCTGCAATTTGAGGTGAAGAAAGATATTTTTATTACTCCAGTCTACATTTTAACAATTATCACTTTAAGCTAGATTCAGATATTATGGTATGCTATTACGGTAATAGTCTAAATCTAACGATGACCCAGACCTTAAAATAGTTAAAAAAAGATGGTAAAAAAAAGGAATCCCAGTAATACCCACGTGGAAATGTTAAATACGCATAACTGTTCCATTTTGATATCAATCCAACACTATGTTGAGGTGACCAATATGATTTGCTATTATTATAATGCACTGAGATCACGGCTGATGAATCTATTTGTATTTCGCAGAGAAATTGTATGCTCGGCGAGATGCATAACAAACGACTCGTATTTTGTAACTGCTACCCTCACATTTGGTGGATAATGATGAAATTATAATGTCGGTTGGAATAAAATTGCAAGTAACGTTTAGAAATTGATAGACCATATTAACCTCTTGCTTTACATATTTTTACATTTTTCTTCCGTAAAACAGTAATGCGCAGTTTGATGTATTTCGGTTTAAAGATAAAAATATTTTTCTTTCCAGATTGACGAAATTTTTATAATTCATTACCCCATTGTAAAATTCTACGCGCGCTGAATAACGCCGTTTGATAAAATTGTGTATATGTTGAGAGTATTTAATATTTTACATTGACGTATAAGCATACCAGAGAGAAGAATTCACTTTGTTCCACGTATAAAGTGAATACTGATCGTATATCTGGCTCTAGAGTTGACAAAGCAGACATGTGGAATTTGAAATTTTCTCAAATTTCTCAAATATCTTTTTAGGCATTATCGAAGATAAAAGTTGTAGTTACAATTATAGCTACCACTTCTATTTCCATATTTTTACAGTTAGACAAGAATGTTGTAAGATCTGACTGCTCATAAGTTATTCATTATAATATATTATAGAGATATAATATAATGTTCCGAAACTATCATATTTTTCTATTTGTCTCTTTATCATATTTAGATGTTTTTTACAATCTATCTGCATAGTCTAAGATATCTTTTGTAGGACTTTTCAAATTTGATTTATAACATTTGGTAGTAGGTAATTGTAACAATAATTTTTATAACAGCTTTATATTATCCTACTGGCTTCGGATCGCCTCTCAAAACGGCGAGCTTTTTGTCTACTACTCTAAGCTGCTCAAGCAGTTTAATATAAGATTTTATATAAAGTTTTCTTTCTCCTACATTGATATAATGTGCTTCGCCTGTAGAGTGACGATACATTATATACTCTTATTACGTAATTACAAAGAATATTTTACTCTGTCAATAATGAACAGTACGTATACTATTTCTAATTTTAAAACACGTATCACTTCGTCACTATTTCACAGGAAAAACATTTAAAAGTCATATTCACTTCTCTGACAATACTGGATATCTAACGTGGCTATAACAACTCTCTTGGTAAGAGACTATTATAATTCCGAAGAGGCGACACTTAAATTAATGAGAACAGCAATCACCTGTCGTCTGTTTAGTTTAATCAAAAGTGTAAAGGGCCATTTAACTATTAAGGCTTTATTTACAACCTCGTGTATATTTAGAACGATTAGCAGTTTCAACAGTAGGATTATATATGGGTAATCGGCAGTTTCGTTTACGTTAGATCAAACCTTTAGTTACGTTAACGTTAAATGGTAAATGATTTAAAAAAAACAGCCATACTTCCGCATTTTATCAATGCGGAAGTATTAGTCTAAATATCAACATATAGTTATTTACAATACTGTCATTTTAGGTTTTCCGTCCGGTTCTTAAGATTAGTCCTGGAGAAACCCTGCGGTATAACTGAAATACAGAAGAACTTTGATAAAGACATCTGATCTCTTTATTTCATGCAATAAGTTTTCCACGTACCAGGACCTACGTTTCATGTTATTATTTTATAGTTCTAAATCAATGAGTTACTTTTAATTACATTACATAAAACCTTATTGTATATGATTAACCGTTTCAATTTTCCGCCACTTTCAAGTTACATTGGCACAGAATTTATTTCGTTAAAATACTCTCCACTCAAATCTTTTCTACGTGACAAGTCTTTTTAGGAGTTTATTAGAATTCCGAGTGATTATTGTGGAAACAAGCCTTGGCAACCGGCTCCACTGGGTTTTGTGTTAATTGAATTTTATATTCTTGAGATATTGGGATTAGCTAATTGTTAATTCCTTTTTCTTATCAAAAAGTATAATTTTCCTTGAATAGCCGCCTGTAATATAGACGGAATATTTCATATTTTTATTAAGTTGTTTAACCGCTATCAAAAGGGATACACTATTAGTCTATATAGTATATTTTCTGCGTTCCAAATCTCAATGTTCATATTCTACCATAAGCTCAAAGGGATACAATCTAAGCCTTAGACAAGACAAGTCTTCAAGAATGGCAATAGGAGAGGGTTTCTTAACAGATTTAATATATCGATGACGGTTACAACATAGTATCAAGTATTTTCAGAACTTGCTTATAGTAAAAAAATATATTTATAAAATAAAATTGTAAATATCTCATATAAAGAATTCTCTTGTCTCATGATATAATATGTTAGTTACCATAAGCCTCCGCAATGGCATGATCGATTTTTATGAAATTTCATATCCATATTCAATAGATCTGAGAATAGGCTAATATCTATTTTTCTTACCCCTAAGTGATAAGGGTTGTCCACACCTAACATTTTTCTTATTAAGACATTTATTTTTATTATAATGTGTCATTAAAAAATACTTACAACCCTAAATTTTCACCCTTGTATCACCAACCCATATTTTTTTTAGTGATTTTAATTTATATGGCAAAACAACATTTGCTGGGTCAGCTAGTTCATTAAGAAAAATCGAATTACATGTTGTAAAATTAACTCGGAGGACAGTTTATATTTTGATTTTTATGGCCACATATTATTTTATCACACTGACGTAAGCCATGAAATTATCAAATACATATTGCTGCAACGTTTTCTGCTAAAAAAAACCTCGCATCCACATTGTAGAATGTCACGAACTGACGCTATCTCGATCTGTATACTGCTCCCTATCTGAATTGGGTTCGTGATCCCGCATTCTAGTTCGCTCAACTCGGCTTAACTCACGAATAGACGATGATATGAAAATATCGAAATTTTTAGAAATATTTTGACATACGATATTAAAAATTTACAATGGCAATTTTGAACGTCGCGAATAAATCTTCAAATGTAAAAATACCATACCAACTGTACTAGATAATACATCTTTCATATTTAAATTTGGCGTGCGTAGCCTTCATTATTAATTTTCATCAATAAATTATTATTTACAATGATATAAAATTACAATTACGGTATTTTATATAAATCCACAATTTAATTTAGATTTATGTAGGTATAAATAAGTAATTTACTTACACTGTTAATCTTTTTCAAGTAGATGTGAAAATGCCACTACACATCCTACGTGGTTGTAGCCCACTCATACATAAACGAAATATCTTTTTAAAAAGTATACACACTCTATCCTGAGATAAAAACCATCGCTCCTAAGAATAACCTTCAATTTGTGTGCAGTATGGATGCCTTACCTAACCTAGACGGTTAGGTAAGGCGTGCTTTGAAAAAAGGCGAGCACAATAGATCTATGGAGGTTGCAGTCTTACGGGTCCTAGCAATTGACAATAACCCAAAACTCACAATAAAAAAAAAACCGTTTCAACCATTGTGAAAGATCCTTTCAACAATTTTATTATAGAAAATTGTTTCAGTTAGTTTCACACATGAACTGAGAATGAGCAGACTAAGGAAGTTCTGTTCATGGCATTTCTTATGAATGATTCAACTTCCGAAGACTAAGACATAACCTCTTATATTTTTTCTCGTGACTGCGTATAAAAATGGTACTAAGATATGACGGTTTTAGAATCATATTGGAACGATATTAATACTGTCACATGAACACGTGCTATGCCCCGCACTGTTCATATAAACAGGTAACGATTGCCACTTACCGGGTGGATTGCCAGTTTGTTTGTCATTATGATTATCATGATCTTAACATTCATCCATCTAATGTTTTAAATGCGAATGTATCTGTCTGTTACCTTTTCAGGACTGAACGGCTAAATGAACCGTAATGAAATTTCTCTAAATAAATAATAACCCTGGACAATTAACACAGCGCCATCTAGTCCCTCGATAAGCAGAGCTTGTGTTATTGGTACTAGATAATTGATATAAATACTTAGTTTTTCTTTTATAAATACGTAGACCTAGACCTAGACCTAGACCAAGGCTGTCAAGAAATTTCAGATTGTATATTAGACTAAAGCTCAATAATTAGACAAAGTCTCAAGTAACATCTAATAATAATATATGTAGCTGGTCTCTAACTTCATGGAGATGCATTCATCAGAGATAAACAGACGCCTTAGGCATTTGTGTATTAGTATTGAATTAAATATTACCTACATTTGATACGACATTGTGTATCGATAACAGGCATGGCATCTGTCCAACTATGGGACATAACCGGCTGCAAATAGTAATTACAAGGGGAAGGAGATTGTTAGTAATGAAGATTAGTGGCTCTATTGCTAGTATAGTACCCCGTCGAGTCGATCATTGTAGTTAATCCCTGGTAATTTGACCACAATGGGATAACTAACCTGACTTCATCTTAAACCTATCGTCCTCCTCTGATAGCTCGCTCGTGAAAATCGTAGGCGGAGCATAATTACATTACATTACAACAAAAAAACTAAAAGAACAATCTTATAAGCAGTGGATCTGGAATCATTTTAATATACGGACTGATTGGTACCTTCATCGTTTTTTATTGATTAAAATGATAGTATCAACCGTGTTTATAAAAACTCAATTTGACTAAAAATTTGCTTATACAAGATAAGATTATGTTAAAAATTGTTTGCATACTAAATCAGCAGGCAACAAAATGAA